TTAGTTAGAATTAGAGGTCTCTACCCCTCCAAGCCTCACTGCCTTCTTTCCATTCTCCCTCCCTCTGTCCCTTTCATCCTTCTGTTTCTCCCTTCTTCCTTTTACTTAGACTGGCAGTCTGTCTCCTGGTCATTGAGGGAGATATATCATTTTATTCTAAGTTTTCCTGGTGGTCTTGTAAGGCCCTCAAACTGCTTTCCAATGTGCCTGCCCAGAGGCCTGCCTTTCTTTCTCCCTCTCTCTTTCTTTCTTTATTTTATAAATTTTATTTTAATTAGAAACAATCTTATTTTACATATCAATCTCAGTCCCCTCTCCCTCCCATCTTCCCATACCCCCCCCCACCTATTCCACCATCCCATCCTGCATCTACTCCTCAGGGAGGGTAATGCCTTCCAGGAGGAATTATCAAAATCTGTCATTTGGGGCAGGGCCTAGGCCCTCCCCTCTGTATCTAGGCTAAAAGAGCAACCCTCCATGGGAAATGGGCCCCTGAAGTCTGTTTGTCCATTAGGGATACATCCTGGTTCCACTGCCCTGCAGACTGCCCAGTGCTCCTAGCTGACACCCACATTAAAGGGAGGCCTTTCTTTTTTAATATTTATTTTCATATTTTAGCTCTCTCTGGGGTCTCTCTCTCTCTCTCTCTCTCTCCTCTCTCTCTCTCTCTGTGTGTGTGTGTGTGTGTGTGTGTGTGCCTGCACATGTGAGTAAGTTGCTCTTGGAGGTCAGCAGTATTATATTCCCTGGAGCTGGAATTATAGACAGTTGTGAGTTACCTAATGTTCTTCCTGAAACTTGAACTCAGGACCTCTGCAAGAGGAGTAGCAGTCTTAACCACTGGACCATTTCTCCAGCTTCCTCACCTACAGGGTCTTTTCGTCTCCTCCTTCAAACCCTGCAAAGGCAGTGCTCTGTTTATACATATACCTTTATTAGATGGTTTCATGGATACCTTAGAACTCATGGCCCCAAGTATTTCCATTCCTCTCTGAATACTCCAAATGTACATGCAAATATAAGAGAAACAGGTAGTGCAAACACAGTGGTAAAGAGGAGAGAGAAGGCTTGCAGAGAACGGCAGGCAAATGCCCACAGCATCTGCCACTGCAGGCAGCATTGCCAACACAGCCAATGTGAGTAGGAATTCAGGGTAGGAGCAAGCCCTTGACTGTGAAAGACTGTGTTTGTTTAAGGGTGTGAAGATCAGTTTTAGAGGGGAGATTGAGTTAACTATTTTGTCCTTCAAAGTCTTCTCACTAACAGCCGAAGCCCTTCAATCATTGTCAGTAAAGATCAGACCAAAAAGCAAACCATCTTATTCAAGCCAGAGAATTTTGGGTAAAGACATTGTGAATGGAGGAGAGTAACTAGAAACTGGTAAGTGGACTGGCTGCACCTGGTTGTCAGCCTCCTTTGTTCTTCCTGTTACTCTTCTCACACACACACACACACACACACACACACACACACACACACACAAAAGCAACAGAGATAGAAATCCTTCCCTGACACTGGCTGTTTTACAGGGCACAACTCAGTTGTTTTGAATTTATTCAAAGGCTGTGAAACCATCAGCACTATCTAATACTAGTTCGTTTTCATTGCCCAAAAGAAACCCAGTATTGTGACTAGGCAATACGACACATTTGTCAAAACCCAGTCTCCAGCACAGAGCGAACCCCTATGTGATCTAGGCTAATAAAACACACTGTAATGAATAATCCCCATATGTACACGATGGGAGCTGTCTCTGCTCCATGATGATAGTTTTCAGTCAACTCCAAGCTGCTCTGAAAAGGAAGCTCGCTAGTTAAATAAATAAAACAAACACTAAACTCTCCGTGCACGTTGGCAGTGCCCTCCCCTGCCTTGCCCCTCATCCTCTGTAACCATTTTTCTACTTCCTCTCTCTCACGTGGGCCCTTTTACAACATGGATATAGTTCGTTTTAGTAGTTACCCTTAGGTAGTGTACAAAGTTCATACATTAGAAATGACAGCCCTGTAATTCCTGTCTGCCTCTTCTGTAAACATCAGTGAACTATAAAATGGCATAAAAATGAAGATGGCGTAGGTAGTCACAAAAAATGTTCATGGTTAAAAAGTATAAAAAATACTTTGTGCTGTGCAAAACCCTGAGCATCAGGCCTGTAAACTCCATGGCACGGCAGCTAGGACTGCGATGGGGGTTGGGGTTGGGGGTAGATTCTTGGACAGCATTTGAAGAATGGATTGAGATAAGATTCAGGCTAGAGCCTGGGACAGGTACTGGGGGTGGGGTGCCTGGAACACACAGTGTTTTTAATCTGCAGTAGCTGAGATGGCAGAGAGTTACAGGGAAGAACGCTGCGGGAGGGGCTCACTGCCTGTCAGCAGGGCTGGTGACATTGCCACAGGAAGGGAAGTTTGACCTGCTCACTAAAGCACCAGTGCTGGGCTGGGATTTTTTTTTTTAATTTAAAAACAAAAGAAACCCTTTTATGCAATAGGTATCAATAGGTATCAGTCATGTTCTTCCCAGCCCCCAACTCCTCCCAGATACTCTCCACTACGCTACCCACTCAACTTCATGTTGCTTGTCTTAAACAAACAAACCCCTAAATGAAAATCAAAACAAATAAAAAACCCAGTAAGATAAAACATGCCAAACCAAATCAAGACAAAACAAAAAAGCCCACAAAACCATTCCAAACCAATCCAAACCAAACCAAACCATGGAGTTCGTTTTGTGTTGACCAACTACTCCTGGGCATGAGAACTGCCCTGGGGCGTGGTTGAAATACCCAGTGATATCTTATTAGAGAAATTGATTTTCCAGGAGTATCAATTGCAAATGGCATCTTGGGGAATGGTAAGACTTCGTGTTACTTTGCCTTCTCAGTGCTGGGACCCTTTAACCTGTGCAGCTCCCATGCATGTTCCCACAGTCTGTAAATTCTTACATCGTCAGTTCTGTTGTATCTGGAAGACACAATAGATAAGACGATTGATTGTTCTCCACAACTTGATGGTAAGGCCCTATTGCTAAATATATGTCTTAGTTAGAGTTTCTATAGCTGTGATGAAACACCATGGCCAAAAAGCAAGTTGGGGATGAAAGAGTTTATTTAGCTTATACTTCCACATCACTCTTCATCTTCTGATGGAGTCAGGAAAGCAACTCAAGTGGAACAGGAACCAGGAGGCAGGAGTGAATGCAGAGGCCATCGAGTGGTTCTACTTACTGGCTTGTTCTTCGTGACTTTCTCAGCCAGGACCTTATAGAAACCAGGACTACCAGGCCAGGAATGGCACCACCCACCATGGGCTGCACTCTTCCACATCAATCACTAATTAAGAAAATGTGCTACAGGCTTGCCTACAGCTAGATCTTATAGAGGCATTTTCTCAGTTGAGTCTCCCTCCTCTCTAATGACTCTAGTCTCTGTCAAATTGACATAAGATTAGCCAGTACAATACATTTATTTGTTATTGAACATGGAGAAGTCAATCTGGTGCTCTGATAGAGGCTTTGTCTCTATTGACTAGCATTCATGGCACTGGAAGGTACTATGCCTGATAACGAAGGAAAATGGTAATCATCAATAACACCCATCTACAAATCCTGCAACATACAACAATGATCTGTCTGCAAGATATATTTGTGCAATAGTGGCACAAGTGTCATGAGCTTAACCAACCAGTCTTTGCTTGGATGTAAGGACAACTCCATGAGATGAAACCCATACCTGATACTGCTAAAATAGCCAAAATCTGAGATTACATAGGTCATAGGCCTAGGGACAAACCTATGCTGTTATTCTGATAAAGGAACATAGCAGTAAAATGACTCCTAATGACATACTGATCATTGGCCCCATAGGTCAATGATTTGTGGGTTTTGAGAGAGGCTGCAGGGGATGAAAGGGGAGGACCCTGCAAAAGTCCTTGTGTTGTTCTTTTATAGGCACACACTTCTTTCTTGGCCCCAGAAAACAATTGATTTGGCTTCTACTACTTTTTCAATAGCATCACATAAAGGAAATTTTAGAGCCTGAAACTTTTTTTAAAAAACAGTTCTTTCAAATGTGTGAACATGTGTGCACATGTGCAGGTGCCCTAGAGGTCAGAAGAGGGCAGTGTATTCAATGGAACTGGAGTAACAGGCAATTTAAAGCTGCCTGGCATGGGTGCTGGGAAGAAAGTCAGATCCTCTGCAAGAACAGTGGGGGACCATAAGCACTGTGTGGGCTCTCTAGTCCTCCAGAATGCAGTCTTTTGAGGCTGATTTTAAACGTTGCTTGGTACTTTTGGGAGGCACTCAAGTTGCTGGCTTTACCAAGAATTGTTCCTTTTTACTGATGACTACTATTCCACTGGGGAATGTGCCAGAATTTGACTATCTACTCACTTACCAGAGGATACTTGCATTGTTTCTAGTTTGGGGTGATTATAAATAAAGTTCAGATGGACTAAATAATTTTCCTCCTGATAAATCAGTTCTTTCTTTTTTCTTCTATCCAACAAAAATTAGATAACACTTATCAAAGATAAATTCTGATTTATGACTTACCTCCAGGATGGCAATTATATTTCCTTCCCATGTTAAACATAATTTGTCATACAAGGGCTTAAGCCACTGATGTTGCTTGTGAAGGCTGCAGAAGTGGCAATGGCAGCAATTAGATGCAATTATAGACATAACACTTCCTAGAATGGAGCCTGGATATAGAATAGGTGGGGTAATAGAATCAGCTGGTTCAGCGGAGTAGACCCCCATTCTCTACTGTTTTATCACATCCTGCATAATGAAAACTTATGGAACCATTTTCATGTTAGCTTTAACTTTATCTTCATTGGCAAATTGGTACAATGTTCTTTTTGTTCTTATATAAAAGTACACAGTGCAGTAAGGCTGTGGGCTGAGTGCTACTCAAGGGTGTTAAGATGCTCTCCGTATTACCAACAAGTTGCAAAGACATTTCTGGCTGGACCAGGCATGATATTACATTTTGAAATATGGTTTACATCATGCTGGTAGATTTTGTAAGTTTATACCTCTCTTTGGCAAATACTGTGTTATTATGTTTCTACTCTTGAAAAATAAAACCATAAGCCTTTTGTGTTTCTTTTTCTTTTCAGTATTACTTCACTGTTCTTTTTGGACATGAAGGTCAGAAGCCACTGGAGCTGCGCTGTGAGGAGGAGCAGGCTGGGAAAGAATGGATGGAAGCCATTCACCAAGCCAGGTGTGGGTCATGTCTCATTGTGGATGGGGCTTATCATGGCTGCCAGTACTTTCAGAAGATTTTGTCCCTGTAAGATGGTATCACCATGGTACCTTCCTGTGTCATGTGTGTACACTTCCCATGGCTGTGTTTCAATTAAAGATAAAGATAGCAGACATAAACAATAACAATTTCTGGTAGTAAATATGGATTTCTTCCTACATACTATGTACATACTAAGTGCTTCTCAATTAGGGAATTTATCAAATGATAAATTTATCAAATTTATCAAATGGCAACCCCTCCCAACAGTCTGCTACAGGGGGTTTGCATTCACTTCATCTTCTGCATGTAAGGAAAGCGAGGCCTGGAAGGTTAGTTCACTGACTTTAGGACACACAGTTAGGTGTGGCAGAGCTAGCTATCCACCCAGTGGAGCCTACCTTTGCAACACCTGCCCCCCATCCTCCCACTCCAAGCAGTCCCATTACTGAAATGTAGTAACAAACTCCATCTGGGTCAAACAGAAAAATGTGGTTTATTTTCCCCTAAGTAATAACTGGACTGTAAAACCCTCCTCCATGTATTTTAAGTAAGAATGAGAAATCTGAAAGGGGGTGGGTGAGGCAGACAGTCTTTTTTATCCAGTTCCTTTGTTCCTGTGTGTGCTTGCTGCTTTTTGCCCATCTTCTCCCCAGCCAGGGATGCTGTCTTAGTTACAGTTTCTATTACTATAATAAACACCATGAGCAAAATGACTTGGGGAGGAAAGGGTTCGTTTATTTCATCTTATAGCACAAGTCCATCATCCAGGGAACTCAGGGCAGGAACTCAAGGCAGGAACCTGGAGGTAGGAGCTGATGCAGAGGCCATGGAGGATGCTGCTTACTGGCTTGCTCTCCATTGCTTGCCCAGACTGCTTTCTTATCATGCCCATGACTGCAATGCTGAAGTAGCAGTGCCCACAGTGACTTGAACCCTTCCACATCAGTCATCAATGAAGAAAATGCACTATACACTTACCCACAGGCCAGACCTATGGGGGCATTTTCTCAGTTGAGGTCTCCTCTTCCTAAATGACTCTACTTTGTGACAAGTTGAGATAAAACCAGCACAGGTGCCACGTTTGATCTTCATGTTCAGTTCCCTTTCTCGTCTTCCTGGTATTTCAAGGAAAAGCTCAGCCATGGAGCATTTTCTTTCTGAGCATCTGACAATGCTTCATCTCCTGTGTCTATTGTCTCTCTGTCACCTACCCGTGAGACTCTGGGACAGGTCATCCCTTGTCAGTCCCTACTCCAAACTGCTGCTGCATCTGCATTGTGTACTGCATGCAGACACTTAGCAACACGAGGTATTTCTGTATGATTTCTACTTCTTGAGCAGGCTTGTGTGTACCTCAAGAATCAAGAGAAGGATTGGGGGCACAATTATTGTTAAGTGAAATGTATTTCATATGCTAATTGTGCAGTAGGTGATCAGGGATGACTTCCAGGTTGGTTAACAGAAAAAAGAAAGCACCAGTCCCCAATGATTTTGCTTTCTTTTCTTTGAATGATTGACACGGTCATTCTGAAAACCTCTTTGACCTCCTTACTTTGTAGGGACCATTCTGTGATGCTAAGCACATTGCACACCTATCTTTTGTATTATTTGCAGCAGCTCAGTCAGGTATCACCAGCCCCATTTGACAAATGAGAAAACAGAAATGCAAACAGATTGGGCAAGATCTAACACCAAGGTGGTTTTTTTTGTTTGTTTGTTTTTGTTTTTGTTTGTTTGTTTGGTTGGTTGGTTTTGGTTTTTCAAGGTAGGGTTTCTCTGTAGCTTTGGAGACTGTCCTGTGACTTGCTCAGCAGACCAGGCTGGCCTGGAATTATAGATCCACAGGTCTCTGCCTCCCAAGTGCTGGGATTAAAAGCATACACCACCACCACCTGGTTTAACACCAGGTTGTTAAGTTGCAGAACCACACAGTCTGCCAGACTTCACAGTGTTTAACCATGGCTCTGTATTGTCCTTATCTTCTTCACCTTCTTTCTCTGCTCAGTTTTTCTTCATTTCTTTTTCTCTTCAAAGATGAAAGTAGAATAATGTTAGGTCATGGTTGAAAATAAAAGGCATCAGCTGCAAAATATTTCACTTCTTTTTATTTCTCTTTTAAGTAGTTCTGTGAGATGCAGTTGGCAACAAATGCTAGTCCCTGGGGCAGCTCTGGGAAGTGGGGGACAGACACACTGCTTAGTGCTTTGTTGCCCGATGCTTGAGCTCCAGTGTTGGGGCTGATGCAGAATGACTTAAGAAGGTCAGGTCTTCAAAGACGAAAGATGCATCAAGGTGGCAAGGTAGAGCCCTGGGGCCATTTGCAGTCACAACCTTTGTAGCTATGTCTATTTTTTTTTACCTGAGCATTAAAATGGAGTATGTACCTTAAATGTGTGTGTTTCACTATACTTTCCATCCCAGAAGAGCAGGAACCATTGAATACCACAATTGAGTTTACAGTTACAAGTGAGTGTTTTGTTGAATGCAGTGTGAATTACTTTAAAGATGTATGGATTTCAGAAGAGAGGTGTTTTGTTTGTTTGTTTATTTATTTCACTATGTCATGCTAAGATTTTTGTCATATGTGTGGGTGTAGTCAGTAATTGTTTGTGTTTGAGATAGGGTGACATCTAAGGCATGTTTGATTCTGTCTAGAAGCAGACTTGAGAAACCACTTAAGTGGTTTAGATGGCAGAATGGTAAATATCCTTTTTTCCCTTAGATTTGAAGATCTGCTTAGTGGTTGATCTCTTTTTGTCCCTTGATGCTCTGACTTTGTTTGTTCTGTTGTACTTGCTTTACTTTGAGTTAATGCCTGGAACTAAGTTCTTTGATGGCTCCTTTGAATCAGAGTGTTTTATACTTGTGCCCTTCTATTTGCCTTTTTGAGTTGAAATGACTGTGAAATATTTATTTTTTAAATCAAAGAGTAATAACACAGAGTCTCCAAAATTTGCCAACTTCGTTCATCTATAAACGATGCAAGGAAGTTAATGAAGCTGCTTCAGACAGAGATCATTAGCTATTTTTTCTTGACATTGTATGTGAAACACAACTAACAAGTTGGGATTGCTTGGCTAAACACTTCACTTTTAGGGAAAAATCTAGTGACACTAATTTGGCATTGCTAACTTGCAACAGAAAACTTCAAAGTAGTCAATAGTCTATATTGATTCCCCCTTTCAAAAGTCAGAGCTTTTGGTTAATCAGTAACTGTTTTAGCACAAGGCTTGTTCTTTTCTGAGTTATAAATCCTCCTGTGGACATGACTACCATTTCTCCAACTCCTGCATTCTGGAATAGCTTCTCCATGAAGTCTGGAAAAGCCGTCTTCATGTACCATGGAAGACACACTGTTGTCTTGGCTCTTGTGTCAAAGCAGCCTCCTTACCACAGTTTGCCTTTAGAGGCTCTTTGGATAATTTTCTGGGATGTCCAATATAGAATTAGCATTTTTAACTTGAAACTTCAACTCAGTCCAGGAATGTTGGTGTTAGAGTTTTGCACACAATATCTCAACGTGATAATTCTAGAACATTGACACACTTAAAATTTCATTCCACACATGTTATGGCATGGAAATGTGGGAAGCTACTACCAAGACTCAGCCCTCTTATTGTTTGTGTAAGCTGAAGTCAGAGCATTTAATAACACTTAAGACTATGGTTACTTTATAAATGATTTGCCACTTAGGCATGGAACATAAGCAGCACTAATAACATATTCTTCCTTTCTTTTCTTAGTCATATATGTCAGACTTGATCAAAGTAGTTAGTATGTAAAAACATTCAAAAATGCTAATCTAGTCAATTGTTGATCATGAAGACTTCTTGGCTAACACAATGTCCATTTAGTGTTCTTTCTTCATGAATATTGAGCCTGAAGAACCTCAGGAGTAAGTTGTCCTTGGTCTGGAAGAGGACCCTGTGCACTCTTTCTGAGTTCATGGCACCCTGATTTCAGCATTGGTTCCATAGCATCTGAACTACAGCAATCAGGAATTGATCGATAAGGCAGCTCAGACGTGTGTGTGGATCTACCATAGGACTTCGTGAACATCTGAATTCGAACAATATTAGGCCAAGATGGCATCTAACACACCATTTGCTCTCTAGCTGATATCACCCACCAGAACAAGACATGATGAGTTAGTGCAAGTTGTGAAGCAGATGTTAACTTGTGGCCTGGAAGGGGAATTGGAAAGATGAGGTGGATCAAAAGGACATCTTGTGACCTCCTATGACCTTTCTGCCCTGTGGCATGTAAGAGATGAATGAGTATCCAGGGACAACTAGAGGAGTTAAGTCTTGTCCTGAGAAGAGATCTGGGTTGGACTGAGGTCAGGAGATAGTTAGTGAGACGTGGAGATGTTGGGACTATCGTGTTTTGCTGTAGTGCCTCTCTGTGGCTTATGTGTTTGGTGTTGGAGACCATCCCACTACCTTTGGATGGTTTCTCATTTTCTTCAAATAAAGATCTGCTCAATCCCACACTCCAGTTCTCTTTCCATCTCTCCAAGTTTCATGCAGGGATCTCAGGCTTGCCTTGAGGAGACAGTGTTGAAAGGAATAGGCAGACTCATTCATTCCATGGAGCTAGCAGATGGAGCATGGCAAGGCCTTAACCTGACCCTTTCTTTGACTTTGTCATTCATAGCATAAGTAGAAAGTCTTTCAACTGAACCCTATCCTTTTTTTCCAGGGGAAGGAAAGCTTTAATCTACTCTTGAGTTCATTCTTTGTAGCCTTTTGATGACACATGTCTTCATATTTTCTCCTCTTTGGCATCTACCCCAAAACTCAGCCCAAGTGGCTAGAGCCAACCTTTCTCTGCTTGCTCTAGACTATGATCCATGCCCAGTGGACCATATACTTCTTTTGGTTTAACCACCATGACATACATGGTGCTGTCTCCATTTAATCAACCTTAGACGAGAAGACCTTATGAAGGTCACCATCCAAGTACATGGCAGAACT